ATTATATTACATACTGGAACTGTCTATTTACTGTACAGCAGGTAAATGATCTCAAAAAGCTAAACAGGATCCATCTAGTTGGAACGTACAAAATCCCAGGGTTGCAGAAGTTAAGAAAACATCCTGGAGGAATGTAATGGCAAACGACATCCACACTGTTGCTATGTCAGCTATGTAAGTATACAGTCACTAGAAATTGAACTTGACTTGAGGGCTACTACCTTATCATTACCTATTTTACTTCTCATACAGACTCCTATATTAAGTTGCAATGTTCATCATCCTCTCCCACATAAATTCTCTTCTTGCCTCCCTCCCTCTCTTGCATAACACCTAGTATTTAAGAAAATATGAGTCAGACTATATTACCAGTACTGTACATTATTTGGAATTCATTGTTTAAAACTCATGGGCAAATTATCTGGAAGACCGTTTATAAATGAAATTTATCCTTTTCATTACTGTTGCTCAGAGCTGATTTGTTCAATGAGATATGGCAGTGATGGGCAACCTTTTCGGCGTGGTGTGTCAAAATTCGGCAAAAAATCGAGCATAACTCGCGTGGTGTGTCACTTCGACAAAAAAACACAATTTTGCTCAATTTATAGTTTAAACTACAAAAATGTATAATTGCAATATATAATTGTATTTAATAAACCAAAAACAAATTATTTAACATACCTGCTTAGTAACTTCTTTGTTCATCAATCTGTCGATTTCGTATGTTGCCCTTGATATTATTGAACTTGTTTGGGGTGCCGTGAACTGAGATAAGTGAGGGGGAGGGCGAATTCTTTAACTAACCTGCATATTAGTGACTTTTTTGTTGCTGAATTTCATTGGCTAAATCTTCAATTGAAGGTTGGTATTTTGTACACTTCAGGCCCAAGCAAGCGCTACTAACCTCATCTGTCAATCTGTTTCTTTTGTTGGTTTTGATATTATTTAATGCTGAGAATAAGGTCTCACAAAAGTACGTAGAAGGAAAAATTGTGAGTAAAGCTGTTGCTATATTTTTCAGGGTGCTAAAAGTGTCTGGTAGTCTGTTCCAGGCACTCCAAATTTCCTGTTCGTAGTGGCACTCATCTTGATTCTCCAAGCGGCCCCTTTCCAGATTCTCAAGCTTTGACCCCAAGTCGACAAACACCTGAGCCCAGATGCTGTCTTGAAATTCTGCAAGCTGCATCTCCAAATCATCTATTTGCGTCCATTGGAAACCATTTAATTCCAAACTATTGTAGACTACTACATCAGGATACTTAATTATTCTCATGGTCTGTTCTAGGCTTCTAAATTGACTAAATCTATCAGTAAACTGGTCAAGTAACGAGTCTAAAACATGCTGGCACTTCATATGCAGGAGTTCCACTTCATTTCGTACAGCTGCACTGGCCTTCTCAAAATGCTTTTGTACTCGAGGAAAATACTTATACGTTTTAGTTTCTACATCTTGCTTGAAAATTTTTACTTTACTTTCAAAAGCTTTTATGTATCCAAACATAACATCAATACTTTTGCCAAAACCTTGTAACTTTAAGTTCAGTTCATTAACATGAACAGAGAGATCTGTAAAAAACATCAAGGTGTTGACCCACTTATCATCATTGAGCTGAGGAAAGTTTCCCAGATCCTTATCTTTAAGAAATACCTTAATTTCTTCAAAGCACTCCACAAAGCGCTCAAGAACCTTGCCTCACTCCACAAAGCGCTCAAGAACCTTGCCTCGGCTCAGCCATCTTACATTATTGTACATCAGCAGTCCACTGTAGGTGGAATCAACCTCCAGTAAAAGTGCTGAAAATTTTCGCTTGTGAAGGGGGCGAGCAGCTATTAAATTAACTATTTTTGTAACAACTGACATTAAGTCATTTAAGTCAGTGAATCCTGCCTTGGCACATAAAGCCTCCTGATGGATAATACAATGAAAAGGCACAATCGGATGTCCAATAGCTTCTGTAAACAATTTCACAAATCCAACTTTTTTCCCCACCATGTTTGGGGCACCATCTGTCGTCACTGACACAACTTTAGAGATATCAATGCTTAGGTCGCAGAATGTTTGCATAACAACCTTACATATTTCGCTTCCTGATGTACTTGTTGGAACTGATACTAACTTTATCAACTCTTCTCTCATTGTGTGACTATCAGAATATCGACCAATAATGGCCAACTGAGCATGTGACATGACATCAGTAGTTTCATCAAGACAGATGGAAAAATATTTACAATTCCTTATGTCTCTCTTTAATTGATGTTGTACGTTTGTGTTCAGTCTCATTATTCGGTCTTTTATGATATTTCTACTGAGTGGTAACTCAGATATTCTCTTAATAATTGCATCTTTATTCTGCATATCGTGAAATAGAAGTGGCGCACATCTTAGGAGAGTTTCTTTAATAAATTCTCCCTCATTAAGTGCTTTTGCATGCTGAGCTATGGAGTGAGCAATGCTCAAACTTGCAGATGTTAAATTTGTACAGCCTTTTATAAATTTAAGGATGGAGTTAGATTGGCTCTTATAAAGGTGTAGCTTCCTGGAAATGTATTCCTTCCTTTCATCCTCACTTTTTTCCAAGAGCTGGGAATGATTAGTTTCAAAATGTCTATTTATATTCCACGTTCTGCTTACTACCGTTTCAGTACATAGAACGCAAAATGATCTGCCATTTTTTTCTATAATACCATACATCTCGCTCCATATCTCTTGAAAGAGTCGGCCACTGCTACTACCACTCCCTTTACTTAACCTTTGTTTTTTATTTTTTGGGTGCTCCATCAGTGGGCCAGTGACAGCAGATAGAATTATAGATAGCTTGTTAGCCAATTAGGGGTTAACTAGCCTAACACAGCCTCCCCCTCACTTATCTCAGTTATTGTGGGCAATTACAAGTCCATGGCACCCCAATAGTTGCTGCTAATGGCGCTCACAGGTCCCCCTTACTGTGTGGCACTCACTAATTGCGGCCTGACTGGAGAAAGGCGTGCACTGTTCCTGCGCTCCTCTCCTGGGGGTCCTCCCTAACGTACTCTCAGCCGTGCTGATGAAGTGTGTGCGCACGGCACGCACGCCTTACCAGCAGCCCCTGCGCTGATAATGGGGCTGTGCCTGTGCTTGCCTGTCAGTCGGTGGCGGCGCAGGCTGAAGTTTGCAGCGGGGACACAGTGAATGAGTGAGTGTGGGTGGGGGAGATCACACGTCCCGCCCCCCGTTCCTCCAGCACAGAGCGTATTTCTTTCATCCTTCCTGGATCCAAGGCCGTAGTGGTACGGTTGCTCTAGGGGGGCGGTAGTCATAATGGGAGAGTTTTAGTGGGTTCGAGTCCCACATAACCTGGTGACCCGCCAGGTATCCGTGGGGATTTCTCTTCCATGGCGAAAAAAAAAAAAAATTGTTTCATCCTTGGCGTGCAGGAGCCGAGGATGAATTACATAAAATCGCATGAAATCCTGCGCGTGTCACCCCAAATGGCCATGCGTGTCAGCACTGACACGCGTGTCATAGGTTCGCCATCACTGAGATATGGTAACACTCCAATATACCCGTATTTTCCGGCGTATAAGACGACTCGGCGTATAAGACGACCCCTGACTTCGGAGACGATTTGCATGCTTTAGAAAATCATCTTATACGCCGGAAAATACAGTATCTTTCCTGTTAATCGCTATCGGTTCAGTTCTGGACAGTAACATCATTTTCCGCATAACCTAATATGCACTATTTTGATATTACTAATCTGACCATATTTTCCATTTCATTGTATGAACAATTTTCCTAGAGTACAATGTTGATTTCCATTTTAGGAGTCTGGAAATACAAAATGATTGGCTCTTGCCCTAAAGATTTTATAATCCTTAATTCAACACAATGGAGACATCAAACAAAAGGGAACCAGAATTTAATAGACAGGAGAAAAGAGGGAAGAATATATGCAGTATACTGAGGCAGTACCATTACTCAGATTTTTAAAGGTAACAACCAAAGTTGTTTTAAAGTGAGAAGACTGATAGTCATTTCAATAATTAAATAGTCCCCATTAGATTATTAATAGGAAAGCTCCCCAGAGATTATAGACAAATAAATGAGTAACTTCCATGTTGCCGGTAAGAGCAATACACTAAGCTGTAATTATCTTAATTCTTCTGATTCCTTCTTCCATAAAGCAAAGAAAACAATTTCTGGATCTAATAATAAAGCATATGGTATTGTTGATTCAATTTTTAAAAAAATCATGCATTTTCCCTTTTATTATAATGCCTTGCTTGGAAATATTGGCACTTGGGAGGGTTAATGCCTCTCACAGGTCTAGTGAGCTTTCCTTCTATTTAAACAGATTGGCGATGTAAAACATTTCTCACCATTCTCCAAGAATACCTCTTTCAGTTTGTGTACCTGGTCTTTCATAGATAGAATAATCCTATCCAGAACACGCCAATTTATAATGCCATCTCAAACTTTAAAACAACCTTGGTTTTTACCTTTAAAAATCTGACAAACACCTTCCAGTTCTCTGGATATAAGCTTAATTAATCCACGTACACCATGACTGAACTAAGGCAATATTCATAAAGAGTACTGTATAAGCTGTTTCAATGTCTTAGGACCAAGAATAAGAGGTCTTGTCATTTGCTACCTCCCTGCTCAATACATCCTTTGACACATGGCTACTGGCATGTTTAGAACTGCCATGGATTCCTCTGTTTTGGATTGTACTGGCCTGTAAAAGTCCTGTTCTCCAATTTCTTGATTGTTATTCAAGAATATTGTGTTTTATGCTAGCTCTCACATGTCACACTTTTTTTCTCTTTCATTCAATGTGTCCAATTTTAAAGGCTGCCTGGACATGTCCCTGCACCTTTCTTGGCAAGGTTTTTCAGAAAAGATTTGTCATTGTTTGCTTCCTAGAGCTGAGAAAGAGAGACTGGTCCAAGGTCACCCAGCCAACTTTATGCCTAAAGTGGAACTAGAACTCACTGTCTCCTAGTTTCTAGCCTGATATCTTAACCACTACAGTAAACTGGCTCTCCACACTTTTTAAAGTTTGCTAAATCGTAGTATTTTAGAAATGTAACCCAGAAAACTGTGGCTCATGTTGGTACCTCACAAAATGACTTCAAACAGCATAATTGAAGTCAAAGGCAGGGGGGAAAGAGGGAAAAAGAAGGAACTGGCCTTTGGCCGTGATCTGGATTGGAACTGTAGACTTGAATCTGGCTCCCCATTTGCTTTTCCCTCCAAATAAACAGGCTCATTTATCTTACTTTAAAAAAGAAAGAAATATTAATTAATTAATGTAACATATAATGGTTTCTAAAACCTTTTGTAAAAAGACTTTGGGAATTCAAAGTACAACCTGAGAATTTTTTTTTAAAGATTTTTAAAGTAAAGACTTTAAATTGTAGAACTAAAATAAAGAGTTGATGAGGCAGAATTCCCTTTTACGTACGCATGCTGATTCTTCCTTGTATGATTTTTTCTTTCTTTTATATATTTACGTATTCTAGCTTTAATTATATTTTCCAAAATTTTAACCAGGGCAAACATGAATTTAATTAGCCGGTAAAGTCTTTGGCTCACCTGCTCCCGTTTCTTTATAAATAACTGGATTGTGCAAACTTCTCTTGCTTTTATTGATTGAGTTTCAAGGGAGATATATCTTTGCATTATAATCATAAATGGATGATATATACAACACCAGGGGTCTCCAAACTTGGTAACTTCAAGACTTGTGGACTTCAATTTTAAGGCTTGTGGACTTCAACGCCCAGAATTCTTCAACCAGCCATTAAAGTTACCAAGTTTGGAGACCTCTGTACAAGACCACAGAGATCAATAAAAAGTCACTGACAATATAATAGTCCTCATATAGCAACTGCTTCATATAGGGTCCATTTGCAGTTATGACCATGATGAAAAAGTAGCTTTGTAACCAATCTTTGCAGTTACAATCTTCACAGATCTGTAAAGCAAAGGAAAGCTGAAATACTGTAAGCAGTCACAATGTCACTTAGCAACCACTTTGCTTAATGACCAAACTGTTGGTTCCAATTCTGGTTGCTAAGTGAGACTACCTGTATGGGGATTATTTGTGGGTAATAAAACATTGCAAAACAAAGTATCCTCAGATAAGAAGCCTTTTTTTAAAAAAAAGAGAAATCTGAAATTCATATACTGAATCATACACAAATGGTATCCAGTTATTGGAATTCAAATATTGATTATGCATAAAAACGAAGTTGGGATATGATGCTGAACAGAGCTGGAAATAAGAGTTTAGTGTTTTTTCTCCAAGTATGCAAGCCACATTTTTTGTTTTCTAAGCTTGGATTTATGATTAGGACTTCCTGTAGGTTGTGTATCTGACAGGGGAATTGATTCCTCCATTACTTCCTACGTATCATTAAAAGAGAGTTATTGCTTCTAATTGTCTTGTCCCCAGAACCAGGGACACCTTCTTTCTTTCTCCAAGGCCTTTTTGACCATTCACGTGTCAACGGGTTCACACACGGGTTAGAAAGTTGAGGCACGCCACGCGGGGGAGACTTGTGGCTCTTGCCCTGGCAGATCTGAACAAGGCAGGGAGGCTCGGCTTGCCCCCGTTACTCATCGGGAGTTTCACGCACGCCACAGCCCCTCAGTCGGATGATGCGCTTCAGGTGAGAGGCTCCCTCCGTAGTCTTGGCGCCTCCAACCTCGCTTCTTCCTTAACGGCCGAGGGGGGCTTCGGCGGCCGCAGGGCAGGAGGAGGAGTTGAAAGACCTCCGGGTGAGCTATAACTTGTGGAGCAGGAGACAGAGAGGCGAGGGAGCCGCTGACGAGCGGCGGGGGTGTTTGCCGGGCGTCCGGAGGAGGGCTCGGAATCTCTCCGGCTCCCTGCCCACACCTGCTGTCCGAGGAGCGGCGCTCTCCTTGCTGCCTGCCCCGCCCCGCTGCCCCGAGGAGCCAGCCGTCCCCTCCCCCGACCCGCTCAGTGGCTGCTGCGGCGAGCCGCGGCTTTGATAAAAGTTTTTGAGAGAAACCGAGCCTGACAGCCGACGGCGGGTAACAGAGCGAAGCTTTCCGGCCCCGCGACCCTTTTGCCTCGCGATGCGCCCCAGAGGCGCCGGGAACCGACGCCAGCCCGGTAGGTTCGCACTGGGAGATGGGGGAAACGGCAGCGTCCTTCTTGGGTCAGGAACTGGGGGTCGCCCATTGGAGCCCGGCCGGTTCGAAAGTCCCTGAGCCGCCCGGGGTGAGGGAGGGGTGGGGACGAAGGTCCTGAGGTGAGTTTTCCGGGGGCCTCGTCGAGGCAGCTCGTGGAAGGGAGCCCTCGCGGCTGCATTTGGAAGTCCACTTGGCTCTCGTGCCCCGGGCTAAGAGGGAGCTGTGCACACACGCGGCCGGCAGCCTCTTCCCGCCTCTATCCCTCGCTCGGCTGGTCCGTGCGCTCTCCCGGTTGGCGAGACGTTGTGGGGAACAAAAGGAGTCCGGCCTCATTCGGATCACCCACGCGGAGCAAAACATAATGGGACAGCCCAGCCGGGTCCAGAGGGAAAAGTACGGTTGAGGAATAAACGCGAGCAGCTTCTGTAACTTTCAACCGAGGCAGCAACAAGAGAGCTCCCAAATATTCCCCGCTTCAAAGGCTCTCCCTCCCCTTCGGGGGGCCAACGCAGATGGGAAATGTCCGATCCAACGCCGTATATGCCTCTTCCAGTGCGTCGTGAGGGTCGGGGGCTCAGTAAGAAGTAACTTTAATCAACCCCCTGCCAGAAATATAACTCCTCTTTTGATAAGAGCGAGCGGGCTCCCCCCCCCCCCGGCCCTGGAACCGGGCAGGGCAATTCTCACAGCATTATGGGTAGAGCCTGTCACTATTTTGCTGTTGACAATTTGGAGGGGGTAGATATCGGCTTATGAGGTGGGTTTTATTTATTCCTTAAATCTATATGGCTGTGGGTGAAGGTCCCTTCTCCGACCTTGTGGGTTGGTTTCTGAACGTTTCGTTACCAGGCTAGGTAACATCTTCAGCAGAGTTTAGTGTTCTGACCTGCTTCAAGCCCTTATAAACAGAACACCGATGTCTCCTAAACTCTGCTGAAGAAGTTACCTAGCCTGGTAAGGAAACGTTCAAAAACTAACCCACAACCTTGGAGAACGAACCTTCACCCTCATCCTACACCCCAGCTATATTCACCACAATATGGCTGTATCAACAAGTACTGTCAAACAGTATATGAAGTAGAAACAGTTTGGATTTTTTTATATATAAGTTAAGGTGTAGACAATAGTGCATGTGCATGTATGTTAGTGTGTGTGTGTGTGTGTATATGTATATATATACACACACACACACACACACACACACATACACACACATGATTACATTTGATTTACAGAGAAATAGTGAATGAGCCTCCACTGTAAATTCAGCTCAGAACTTTATAGCTCTTAAAACCTAACAGATGGATATAGCCTGACTTTTGGTGAGCTGCAGTTCACTTCACCCAATGCTTTCGCTGCTGCAGTTTCTGCACCTATTTTTTATTTTCACCCCATGTTGTTCTGCAGGCTCTACTGTGACTTGTACTGTAATAGTGCTCCAGCACTGACTACCCTCAGCCTTTTGTCCCTAGTCCATGGTCTGGCCTGGCTTAGTTCATTAATTACCTAACACTTGGCAGAACTTCCACTTAATTAATACTAATGACAATCTGCTGCATGTGCAGAAGAAAAGGTGGCTGCGGGGAGAGCATGCCCAGTGCTTGAGCAAACAATATTTACCAAAGAGAGTGTCCCATGTGAACTCTTACACAAAGATGGGAATAGGGAAAAGGGGGGAGGGGAGTGCAGTGGACAATGTTACTGTCCATTCAGGTGATTCAGTCTATATGTATAATGTAATCTCACAACATCCCCTGGGAAAATTAAGAAGGATCCTAGGATAGTATCCTTGGGGGGTTTGGCTTCACATTCAAATTAAAGGTGCTAAAAATGATTCTGCCTTGGGAATGAATTCCTAGCCCATCTGATGATTGGTGTTTGAGAGTGTCAAAGTCAAATTAAGAGTTCACCCTGTCTTGCTGGGTTTACTGTCAATATTATTCTTATTAATGTACCATTTCATACAAAACTTGCTAATGTGTCAGAAGTAACACACAGTAATCTATGGCACTCTGCAGCAAATTAATGGAATGAAAGCAAAATCCTAACCAAGTTAGTAGCTGATGGTTTTTGGCTGTAACTGGCACTTATGGGTTAGCTCTTCTGCTCTGGTGACATCCTTAGTAAGAACAAGGCTGTAGGTTGTGGAAATCTGACCATAGGGATATTTAAATGTATTATTTCTTCATTGTCAGGCAAAGTCAAAACTTACAGCAATTGTATCAACTTTTTGAGCCGTGCATGAAGAGCAAACTTACTTTTGGCTCCCAGAATTAGTTCTGACCTCTGACCTTTAGTCCAGACAATAGTGAGGAGAGTTAGGTTACAAGCCTATATTTTTTTGCAAGACTTGTTTTCTTCTTTTCAGCTGTGACATTTTTTTTCTTTTTAGCAAATTCTCAGAAAAGCTGCCTTTGAGCCAGTAGGTTCCTTTTAATCTATTATTTGGTTCTTTACTACGAAATGGAGCACTGACATGACCTTAAAATGCCTTGAAAGACTTTTTCCTATTTCTGTAAAATCAGCGACCAGTTCTTGCCCCTCTGTCCCAATATAGTATGGACTGGACATTTTGTGTATGCATTTATGTTATATACCGATATCTTTAAAAAGGGAAGAAGTAAAACAAATTTGTCGAACAGTCTAGAGTTTTAATGTTTTAATTATACAGAAATATAAATATTCAAATTATTTGTGAAAAAGTATATTAGTTATTAATCTGATAGGTATGGCACTTTTAGAGGACTTTTAATTATTTGAAAACTGTTATATTTGACATAGAGAACAGTAAGCATCAGGACTTCCATGTCTGGGATGCAACAAGTTAGAGTTCTCTCTATATATATACTCTAGTATTTGAATTTTACAGCCACATCAATAGACCTAATAGCCCAAAGAATATATCTGTACTGTAGTAATATCCCACAGTAGGGACCAGTCTTTCCAGTCTGCTGCCTTGCCAGTACACTAGATTACAACTCCCATTCTCCATAGCCAATTTTGCATTATAGCTCTCTTGTCCATTTAAAGCTACCTCATAGCTTTAAATGGACAAGGGGAGATGCATGTATCAAATCTGTAGAAAAACAGGCTGCAGAAGACAGTTGCAGACAGATTCTAAGCTGCACGTTGCCACTGAAATTATAAACATTTCCAGAGACATATCTCTTCTCTAACTTGAACTGTTCTATCTCTACTTTACATGCTTCTTTTTACTGAAAGATGTCTAATATGGTTTGTAAATTTCCCATAATCTTTGTTCCCTTTATCTTGAGTATAATTCATTAAAACCTCCATGACTTGGAAGAGATCACCACTGTTTTGTTGCAAACATAGCAAAGAATCTGTTCTCTGCACGTACTGAGTGATCCTGGTTGTAATAGAGAACGGTTGTGCATCATAAGGTCATCCATGTTCTCATCTAATGTAACTGAACTCATATTGGAACATTGTTCATATGATACTTCCTCATGTCCCAATTAGCATGAACCTGAGGCTGCACCCTGGGAATTAAGGATGAAGCAGAATTAGCTTTTCTGTTCTTTGCCTGACTCTTTCCTGGTATTTAATTTATAATCAATTGCATTTATTTTTAAAAAATTAAATACTGAATTTAATCAGATCTTAAAGGTTTCACTGGTTCTTTCCGTATGTGCTTAGTGATAAAGTTTTCTTTAGGTAACCAGCATTGAAAAAAAAAATGAACCGCATCTCTTGAAGTATATATGAGATACAATACAGTAGTCCTGCTTATTAGAGGGAGTTTATTGCATGTGTGCAGAGTTTTAGAGATAGTTAAATGGTTATGCAGCTGCTCCACTGTGTGGCCAAATCAAGATTATTAAACCCCTAATATTTTTACAGTACTCCTGATATTTTACCATGTCATCAAAATGCTTGATCATTGGTCTTACACTACCATAATACAATCTTAGCTTGTGCTGGAAAACTTTGACTTAGTTTAAATCAGTGGTTCTCATCCTTTTTAATGCCGTGACCCCCAACCGGTCGTAAGTCGAGGACTACTCAACCGGTCGTAAGTCAAGGACTACTCAACTGTGCAGCACCGTTTGCAGAATGGGACTTTTGGCGGGCTCAGCAGGGCAGAGACAGCCTGGACAATTCCTATTGGCTTTTGAAAGCCAATAGAATTAGACTCTATTCAAGAGAGTCTATTCTATTGGCTTTCAAAAGCCAATAGAATAAAAGGGAGTAGCACAGCTAAGGAAAAGGGGGAAAAAATGGGGGACTGAGTTGTTTGGCAACCCCCGTGAAATGGTCGTTCGACCCCAAATGGGGTCCCAACCCACAGGTTGAGAACCACTGGTTTAAATTAAAAGCATAGTTATCTGTCTGCATCACTATTCCATTACATGCTGAAAAGAAGAAACAGGTTCATTCAACTCAGAAACAGGCATACTTCCCAGCATTGCATTAGAATCTACGGCCTGATCAGAACAAGTTGCAACTCAAATGAAGTACTAAACAATCTTTTATATATTTACTTAGAAGAAAGTAACTCTTTGTGCAGTGGGGCTTCCAGCAAACCCTGCCTGTGATTCCAGGTGGGATTCAGCCAGTTCGCACCAGTTCAGTACAACTGGTAGCTAATTTTTTGTTGCCCAGGCCCAGAATGGACTTCTGGAAGTGGCATCCACACAGAGAACCGGTTGTTCACATATTTAAATCCCACCATTGGAGCAGAGCAATCCTATATTCCATTCAGAGCATTTTGTGGTCCTACCACTAGAAAAAGCACAGTGACTCCTTTGCTTGCATACCTGCAGAACATAATAAGTGTAATAGGAACCCCAGGGGATGTCCTTCTTGTATCTTTCCTGTTGTTGTTTTCCCTCCCAAAAAAAGTTTCATTTGGTTTGGCACATTGTGATAGGTTAGAGGTCTTTGGCTCTGTCCCTAACCAAAGCCTGTTTTGTGCATTTTGGACCTCTACTATACTAAGGTCGGGATTTCCTAACC